ATAAAATGAAAGGTTTGGGACCGTGGTCGCAATTTTTCCTTTTTTAAATTGTTCAATAGTATGATGTTACGTGACACACTGTAAAAAAATATTATAAAATATGATGTGCATATAGCATGATCGAAACAGAAAATTACCATACACAATTGATGACGTGTGATATAGAGTTAAATCATTTGCACATCAAAAGTGTACATCACATTCTTACAGAATCCAAGTTGACATGATTTGATTGGTGAAAAAACTATTTATTTTTTTAAACGGTTTAATAGCATGTTGCAACGTGGGATGATGTAAAAAGTGATGTACGTGTAGCATGATTCGTGTGATATACGCAGGTAGAAATCACAAAAAGGTCTTTGAAACCTTTTGTTTGCATTTCGTCAAGATTCATTAGTTTAGTTGTTAAAGAAATGTTTTCATTGAGGCCCTTTTGGAAAAAAAATTAACATATTTTTTTGTTCAAATTTCTAAAAGGGATGGAAATTCATCAATGCTGAAAATATGACATAGAGAACCTCATTTATCCATGACTAGTCACCACTCGTACAAAAATTAAACGTACGTTTGGTTAATATTTATATTGTTCATCAACTCTCAAATCACTTTAATTTATATGTTTTGAGATATTCACAAGTACTATTAATTTATTCATTATCCATTTCTTTTTGTTTATAATTTAAATCATTTATAAATTATTTTGCATATTATATTTTGTTAATGTGTTAATTAAGAGAATTTAATTATAGAGTTATTTTTCAACCTCTGCTGTGAAAAGAAATTAGAAACTATGTAGATGAGACTTTCAATCTGCATCGGGGTGGGAAAGAATGGACATTCTTCGTTTGTGCATGAAATAATTGGTCATAACAATCTACCTCAATTGACGATTCTCGAGGATCGAGAGTTAAGATATTTGACGTGACATACGATCATCAACTTTGGGATAAGGCCTCGCAAGTTTTAGGTTTAGTTCTAGTTTTTTCTTACTTTATGCTCCCCATTTATGGACACGAGAAGCTCACTTTTATTATGTTAAATTAAATGTTAGTCAAAGGTCAAATTTAGTCCCAATTTGTCTATCATTATTTTAAAATATTTTTTTTAAACTCATTTTTATTGAATAATGGTTGACAAACGGAGATTAGTTTACTTCCAAATTTTGTACTGCTTTTACTACTTATAATAAAATACACCACTATAAGTGGTTTTAACCAAAAAGAAAGTTGATATTATTTTTAATGTTATTTAATTTGTCAAAAATTATTTAAATTTAGTTTTTGGAAGTAAAACTTTAAACTTACATTTTTTTAAGGGAAAAAAAAGTTAATTTAAGCAGCCAGCACAAGAGTGCTCAATTTCCACTTTGGACGGTACAGATAAAATTCAGAATTACTTAACGCCCCATAGTCCGTAAAGACCCCTAGAAAACGGGAGATCTTTCAATTTGGCCGGTCAATTACGTCTTTTAAATTATTCATTGAAAAGTCTATATTACCCTTAATGATATGAATTCTTATAAATTGCATAATATATCTTACCTTTTAAAATAGCTATAAAACTAATATTATCTTTTATTTCTCATATTTCGAATTATAATATACAGATTCATTCTATAATCTAATAAATTAGAGTAATTTGTAACATGCTTATCATTTTCTTTCCTAAGATTATCATATTCTTCAGATAATATATCCATATTTTCTAGTAATAAATCATTATCATTTATTTTTCTTAACAATTTTTTCTAAAATTTTTTCTAATCTTTCAATTGTATATCCGGCATTTTTAAATATCAAACTATGAACAATATCATAATAAAATATCATAACAATTAATCCCTGCGATTCTTAAAAATCCCTGCGATTCTAGTAATTTTACTTTAATTTTGGTATGGATTTCTAACCTCAAAATCAAATGACATTCGAGTTCTGGATGTGCAAACCACTCCCTTCAACGGCTTCCTGCCTTTACGGGATTCTTGTTATCCCAATTTCTTACTCTCACTGTATTGTTTCTAAGAATTAAATTTCTAATCTTCTGTTAAAGAAAAACTTTGTTTATTGCTAAAGTAAAAAAGAAATTCTCTATCAGACTTTTCAAGAATCTATGAGAAATAAGATTTAGAAACTCATCCTTTTAAGAAGATTGGAATGTGAATGATCTATTCAAAATTAGTATATTTGAAATTGATACAAGACTGATAGAAAGATTTTTGGCTTTCTCAGAGACTGAGTGTTCAAATTCATTTTGTCTTTTCTCTAACCCAAAAGCTTCTATTTATACATGGATACAATTATTGAAACAACTATTCTATACATCAATAATTTCATTTGAGGCACGCCTGCCTCTCTATTATTATCTTGGAGGTCCTACATTATCACTTATTGCCCTGGTCCACCATTATATATATGCATCAAAGGCACAGTCGTCCTTCTATAATCTTATCTTTTTGTGCTTTGTCAAAAGCATTCCATTATCTATCTTCTTTATGTCATGTCTTCTTTTCTTTTTGTCGGCACGTGGGACATTCCCTCAGCCTGCATGATTCTTGGATTGTTGTAGGGCTATCACTGATCTGATGAGTATCAAAATTTTCATTATATTCTTTTAACACTGTTGATTTCTCCCTTCCATTATTGGTGAGGAGTGTCCATCCTTCATATTGGCATATGCATTTAAATTTTTTATCAAACAGATTTTTTGTCATATTATAAAGAACTTTTAATCCCAAAACTCTTCGGGATTTCATCTATGATCGGGTAATTTTTGGCATTGTTCTTTTATTTTGCCCAACCTCAATTTGAAAGTCACGGCCAACATATCCAACTGTTATAATATGTTCTGTAGGATAAAATATCCTTCCATCAACTTCAGGATTTGTTGAATAAAATTATATATATATAGATCGTCATTGAGCAAATTTTGATATTTCTGATTTAAATATACTATCAAAATTTTCAATTTCTTTTAGATCCTTTCCAGGGTAGATCGGATCTAAAAATCCATAATTAGCTGCCATTTTGACCGTTAGAGGGTCTGCATCTTTAGTAATGATCAACCTGAGATAAACATGATCTCCTGATGAAATAAAATAGGAGTCATTTTCTCCCAATTCATAAACAATCTTGGCAAAATATTTATATTCTTCTTTTTTTGATGATAAAGGGGTATCATCATCTTCACCAATCCTAATTCTGATAACCTTTGTATGATCATCACTGTTTTTTATTGTCACCTTTCGGGGACTTGGCATGTCTCTTTTAATATTGATGGGTCCACCACTGCTTCCATCATGTGATGTTCCTGCTTGTATTTTTTGTATCGTACCTATTTGTATTCCCTGTTTGGTATTTAATGACTAGAATTGTGAAGTAATAGCATCAATTCCGTCATTCAATTGTTTGGTATATTCGGAATGAGAATTAGAGATCTTTACCAATAATTTAACATTTTGTTGGAGAGTTCTGCTAATTGCTTTATTCCAATCTTTATATCTTCTAATTCCTCAACAAGGAATTCCATTCGCCTTTTGGCTTCTATCAATGAATTTTTGATATCATCCATCTCCAAATTCGATACTCCTGCTTAAGAAATTTGCAAGATAATTGTTTACACCTTTAATATGAATAAT